CTGTTCAAAGAGATCCTTGTGATAAAGCGTTTCCCTCGACCCGCCAGTATGCTGTGGTAGGAGGACACACTTTATGGGCAGTGTTGGGCAAATGGTCTGAGAAACTGGAAAAAGTTGAGTTGGCACAAGAGTTCTTCTCCCCGTCACCTTCATTTACACACCAGCACTCATAGGTATATACATATTTACACGTGCACACACTCAAACTAAAAACAAAACGAAAATAATAGTCTCTACCACTAGACGACAGATCAATGATTGTGAAGTCATACAGATCTCCTACCCTCATTACACCCAGTCATCCACTGAGCTAAAAGAACTCCCTGTACCCCCCCCCCAGTAATGCTGCTTATATACAGGGCCCTCCTCCCCTGGAATAAACCATAACTGGCCTGGGTTAAAACAAGAGCTTCAAATATTTAAATGTATTTACATGCAACAGTAAATATAATTCATGTTCTTCACTCGCTGTTCACATTAACATTCATGATATCATTTATATACATTTACAATTCAGTGTACACTTATTAAGCAATTCCCTTTCTTACAGGTACTTCCCTCCTCCTCTACAGAGGATGGACTCACACAGGTAAGTAAAACACAGGTAAACCCATTCAATTCTCTTTTGCGCCTTACAGGCAAGGATGATCAGCCTCAGGTAAGTACCAGTAAGTATATACAATCAGTTTTTATGTTGTGATGTGTAAGGGGGTACCTTACATCATCACAATCCTCTAGAGCAGAGGTCTTCAATCTTAGCGCTGGTGTGTTTCCAGGTTTTTACTCCAAAAAAGCAGGAGGTCACCTTTACAACCTTTAAAATGTATTGTTTAATCTAGAACTGCCAAAAATGCTTAGGTGCACCAGTGTTAGCTTAGTACTAGTTTCTATTAGAAATCTCATAGGGGTGCTGGTAGAAGTGCTGGCTGTTATTGGACATTATTTTAAGTCAAGTCAAGTCAGGTCTTACTGTCATTGCAGCTCTATACAAGTACACAGTGAAACAAAACAGCATTCCTCCAGGACCAACACAGGAACACAAGTGTGAAACAATACAATAAACACAGTGCAGACAGTACAGTACAGTAAATAATATGAAAGACTTACAGTAAATACAGAACAGAACACAGACAGCACACAGTACTGAGAGTATGTGGAGCTGTGCAAAGGAGGATGGAACATCCTATGACAGATTAGCAGCTTAACAGATAGCCTAGCATATAAGAGCATAGCAGTCACTGAGGTAGCAGCCAGAGCAGCAATATACAGTATACAGTATTTGGTTCATACAGTAATTCTAGCAACATTGTTAAAGTGAAGTAAAATGTGCAAAAATGCAGATATTCAGATCTGCAGTCGTATCAAATAAAGTGTTTCAGTGAAATGCAGTAACTATATTTAAATACAGTATAATTTGGAACTGCAGGAAGTGGAGAGTGAGTTAGTCTCATATTGTTATGTATGGTTGTGTGTGGGTGTTACACTGTACAGAAGTGTAAAACTGAACCCACTTATACTGTTTTGTGTCTGTGCTGTTATCCGGTGTCGACCAGAGGAGGATGGGTTCCCCGTTTGAGTCTGGTTCCTCTCGAGGTTTCTTCCTCCTGTTGAAGGAGTTTTTCCTTGCCACTGTCGCCAAGGCCTGCTCACTGGGGGACCCGGATTCTCTGTAAAGCTGCTTTGTGACAACATCTGTTGTAAAAGGCGCTATATAAATAAATTTGACTTGACTTGTGTGTGTGTGTGTGTCCGTGTGGGTGTTATGTATGTTTGTGTGGGTCCGTGTGAGTGTTATGTATGTGTGTGTGTGGGTCTGTGTGGGTGTTATGTATGTGTGTGTGTGTGTGTGTGTCCGTAAACTGTTGCCCAGTCTGGCTGTGAGGGTCCGAATGTGTGAGGGGTGCGTGGGGTCAGTCACAATGCTAGTGGCTTTGCGGATGCAGCGTGTGGTGTAGATGTCTGTGATGCAGGGAAGAGAGACCCGATGATCTTTTTAGCTGTCCTCCCTATTCGCTGAAGGGTCCCAATACAGGCAGTAATGCAGCTGCTCAGGACATTCTCCATAGTGCCTCTGTAGAAGGTGGTAAGGATGGTGGGAGGGAGATGAGCCTTCGTTAACTTCCTCAGGAAATAGAGACGCTGCTGCGCTTTCTTGGTTATGAAGGTTATGTTCAGGTGTTATTTTCATTATTTGACTGAGTTTTTTTCTGGCCCAAACTAATGGCCTGGCTGTGGCAGTCACAGTGAGTCACTGGCAAAATCACCTCTATTAACAAAATATGCCTCTGAGCATGTTGATGAATATGTTTCAATGTGGTCCGAAAATCTAACGTCATTTAATAGAAATAGGAAGTATCGTAAGTGTAGCGAGTACTGATACACAGTGAAAACGTATATTATAGTTTATTGGGTCAACGTTTCAAATTGTTTATAGAAATAATAGGCATTATGTTCATTGTGCCAAAGAAAAGGACCATTCAGATTTTTACCAGCATATAGATTAAAGCAAGGGTCTGTCATCACATGGGTTTCCAGACAGTGAAAAATGTTTATATACTTTTTTATTTATTTTGAGAAGTTTAAATATAACATACATACATCTAAAAAGTGCTTTGTCTGTCTCTAAGCTTTGGTGTAGAGCCATGATGTGCTGCTTGTATTTTAATTGTTAGCTATGTAATCTTTAGCCTGCTAACTAGAGAGCTAGCAGAGTAAAGTGAATTGTATCAGCATTCATATATAAGGGGTGGACTAGCTTGTAACCTACAGCGGAGAAAATTTTAAAGCATTTTAAAGCATTTTAAAGTATTTTACTGCTGTGGCTCATAAACAGCTCTGTATGACACTGTTTTCGTGTTTGAAAAGGGAAATGCATCAGGTTGCAATAACCTTTGGGCGAGTTCTGCTGTTGAAGTCGACACTTGGCATTCAGTCGGTCCTTCAACCCTCCAAAGGTCATCTAATAAAGTTTACTTGATGTTCACTTGCCCTTAAGACGGCATTGGGAATTCCAAAGAGGGAAATGGCAAGGCCCAGTGGACAAGGGCGTGTTAAAATCTGTATTGAGACAGTACATATTTTTCAGGGACATTCATGGCCGTTTCAACATGACACCAAGCTGATTCTGTATGTGGTACAACAGCATGACTGTAAACTGGGTAAATGTAGTCTAAATAAGACTAGGTTTAATCCATATCCAGGAAACTAGTCCTAGGGCATTAATGTTTTAGAAATGAAGACATTCTGACAGACATTTTCTGGTTGGTCACTAAACATTACATGTTTGGCTACAACCACTGTGGACCTTCACGAGAACAATAATATGAATATAGACGACTGAGCTTGTCTTCTGGAATATTTTATTATGAACACCAGCATGAATGGATATACTCCACATTGTTCAGTAGGTCACTCAGATTTACCACAGGTTCTCAGTGAAAGAGGAAAGCTCACCACAGACCCTGAACCACAGCCACAGCACAGAAACAGTTACTGTTTGCTTGCAATTAACATGTTGGAAAAAATAAAACAAAATGTGTTAAACTCAGCAAATAAATAGAGATAACCTTTGCTTTAAAACACCATATTAATATGATCTCTATAGATGTGTTAACCTATTTTCACTTAGAAAATCAACAAAAATATCATTTCAACATGTCAAACATTTACATACAACTGAATAAATAGACAATGGACATGAATACTCAAGCACACCCTGTACATACAAATGCACACAGAGTCAATTCTACCCCCAGATGAAGGACTTAATTCCAAAACTCATCACAGACCACTTTTAGGAATGCTTCTTTTGGTTCTCTCCTTTTAGTTAAGCTGTTATAGTCAGATCTGCTGGAGTCGTTAGCCACACTCTGGAAATGTTCACATTCTCTGTTTTACATACACCCAAAAAGAACAAAACAAATTCTATCTCCCTACCTTTTTCCGAGTACACTGATGGATGAATGTCTGTCGAGCTCTCCTGCTACCCGCTTCAGACCAGTTGCCAATGCCCCAGCTACCGCCACTTGCCCCAGCTACCACCATTTGCCTTGGACTAGCTGCCCACCCTACACTGAAGTTTTCATGGACTCCTAACTATTACTACTACTACTACTATTAATATTAGTAGTATAATAATTTTGTAGGTAGTTTGACCAGAGGAGGATGGGTCCCCCCATGTGAGCCTTGGTTCCTCCCAAGGTTTCTTCCCCAGCTCTGAGGGAGTTTTTCCTTGCCACTGTCGCCCCTGGCTTGCTCACCTGGAGGATTTACATTTCATGTTAAAACTTTGTGCTTAATGGATTTCTGTGAAGCTGCTTTGTGACAACATCAGTTGTAAAAAGCGCGATACAAATAAATTTGATTTGAGTTGGTGTGGAAGAACCTGACTGGCCTCAACCCGACTGAACACTTTTGGGATGAACTGGAACGTCGATTGTGAGCCAGACCCTCTCGTCCAACATCAGTGTCTGACCTCACAAATGCTTTTCTGCATGAATGGGCACAAGTTCCCACAGACACTCTCCAAAATCTTGTGGAAAGCTTCCCAGAAGAGTGGAGGCTGTTAGAGCCACAAAGATGGGACAACTCCATAAAGAAAGGGATGGCCAACAGGCTCACACAGGTGTGATGGTCAGTATATAAATTATACTTGACAAATATGTTCCAGTATCTCGGTTCCTGCAGATTCCCAGTGTACAGTCTTGATCCATAGTGCCTTTCTTTGTAGCACAAATTTTTTGTTTGTGTTTTACAGTTGTTACAGCCTAGTCATAACTGACTTAATACTACTACTACTACTACTACTAATAATAATAATAATAATAATAATATACAAATATTACAGCACAATCAAGGATTACTTCAACATTCATTAATACAAAAATAAGTTATTGAGGTATGAACAAAAATTTGAAACAATTATATGTAAATCCAGTTTGAAAATTAAAAAAAATGTTAAAGTGAAGGAGTTCAAACAGAAGCAGATGAGATGCTGTATTATTCTGTATGGATCTTGAAGGCAGTGAGGTCTTCATTCCACACAGCTATGTGTCGACCGCTTGGATGGTGGAATAGAGCGGATCACTCTGAGGGATAAAACAAACATCTACTGTAACACATTACTGTGACATTGTCATGCATTTGCTTGTTTTTTGACTCCGCTTTTGCCTAACTCTATTAAAACATCTTTCGTCTTTTTACACCGCGAGAGTCTGAATTCTGTTGCTTTGTCACAGACATCACTGAAGTTTAGACTGTCAACTGGTCTTTAAATACAACTGCTGACGTTTTAGAGGTCTGATAACATCACAAAGACAAAGAGAAGTGAAACAGCAGAACTCTTTTACACCTTCAGAGATTCATTAGTTCGCTGTTATTTTTAATTGATACAATAGTTAAGAAATGTTGATGTATGAAAGTGAGACATGTTGCAGGTTATTTACCGGGTTGTTCTCAGAGGACTGAGCTTGTGGTATTGAAGGGGAAGCTGCACTTTGGTTCTTCAAGCCTGATAAACAGAAAATGATTCCGACATTATAAACCAGTGTGAGAAGAAATGTTACAAAACCTTTAACTCCCTCCACTCACTCTTTCACTTTCAGCATGATTCTTTAGTATCTTATTACGCCTGTTTAACCCTTTTGTTTAAGGAACTTCTGTTTATTTGACTACATTGTAAATGAGTTTTCTCCCTCAGTGAGTGTGTTTACATGCACTCAATAATCCAATCATAATCAGATTTCTGTAGTTATCTGATTATTCAAATGGTCATGTAAACACCATACTCCGATCTAGAAATCTGATTAAGAAATCTGATAAAGAGGCTGGATTTTAGCTCAGTAATCAGGTTTCTCAGTGCATGTAAACTCTTAGTCTGATTTCTTTCGGATTTCTGAGTCTGCGCATGTGTGAAAACAGATGGTGGTGTCACGAGCGTTGCCATGAGACGCAACCAAACACTTTTGGAGCGACGCTGAAACCAAACCTGAAATAAAGGATTTAAATATTCTTCATCTTCTAGATGATGTTTGTTCATATTTTAAGGTAAAGTGGCGCAAAGTTTAAAAAAAAAAGCCGCAGCATGAAGTTTGAGTTTTACTTTATGTTTATGTCACGTCTTCTTCTGTGAGTTTATTGGCTGGATGCAAAGTAGAAATCTGATTACTGTCTGACTCATGTAGACCTGGAGTTTCCTATTATCTTATTACTCAAGTGCACGTAAACGTGTTGATTGGATTACTGACAAAATCTGATTTTCTGCACTTATTGGATTATGAAGTACATGTAAACACAGTGCATGATGATTTTAAACATGGTAAAAAAAAGTGCACAGTTTGTATTTATTTGCTACATTTATAGAAAAACAATTAGAAAGAGTTAATTAAATGTGCCATAGCTTTTACACGTCACATTTTTTCCCAGTACATTAAATTTAGTACATAAACAGTAATTATGCGTTAAAATGCAGGGAATTGAGTTCTCTGCAGAGAATGTGTTTTCATTTAAAATTCAATAAAACATGCCGCTTGACCAGTTGCGTCCAAGCTTTATATTTCATATATACATATATGTATATATAGCTTCGGTTGTTGTTCTTTCTGAAAGTGCTCAGATGAATCGCAGTTTCTGTTTAACACTTAAGAGACAGAGTATAAAAAGACAACGTCTCATGACCAAAAAGTCCCATTAACAGTAATTAAAGTTACTGTAAACATGCAGACATGATGTTAAAATGCAGCCCTGGACAGTGTGGTCAGGAACTAGTCTGAGATGGTACATGTAGTGAAAGGATGTGGTTCCACACGCTGCCTGCTGAGGAAGTCTGTTTAGCCGAGTGCTGCATAATCTCATATAAAGAAGCAGAAGCAGGAGATTTTAATCAGCTCTGCAGCGTCAGATAAACAACAGTAGATGTAGATAAACAACAGAAACGTCTGAAGTTTTTACCCAGTTTTATGACATCTGGATCCCCTGCCAGCACGTAAATGGCTTCATATTCCCTTGGAGGAGAAGATGCTGTGAAAGAGAAGAGAAATCCAGTTAATAATCAACACCACGTCTGTACATAGACTGCCTGTAAAACGTTTAGGGACACCTTGCTTTGTTTTGAAATTTAAATTTTTGTGTTGTTGCTTTCTAAAGAAATAAGAAACAAAACCCGCAAAGGTCTTCTTTTGTCTGACAACAAGTTTTGCATAAATAATGATTTGAAAGTTTTATTTTCCAGACTATTTTAAAGCTAGAGCTGCAGTACGTAGGTCCAGGCTAGAGACTTTTTTATTGTATTCAAACTTGATAGTAGTTATACTTGCCTTGGACTTCATAGTATTTGCACTCGGACTTGTCTTGATCTCAGTAGTATTTGTACTCAGATTGGTCTTGATCTCAGGAGTATTTGTAATCAGATTGGTCTTGATCTCAATAATATATGTACTCAGATTGGACTTGATCTCAACCATATTTGTACTCAGATTGGTCTTGATCTCAGTAGTATTTGTACTCAGATTGGTCTTGATCTCAATAGTATTTGTAGTCAGATTGCTCTTGATCTCAATAGTATTTGTACTCGGATTGGTCTTGATCTCAATAGAATTTGTACTCGGATTGGTCTTGATCTCAATAGTATTTGTACTCGGATTGGTCTTGATCTCAATAGTATTTGTACTCGGATTGGTCTTGATCTCAATAGTATTTGTAGTCGGATTGGTCTTGATCTCAATAGTATTTGTACTCGGATTGGTCTTGATCTCAATAGTATTTGTAGTCAGATTGGTCTTGATCTCAATAGTATTTGTACTCAGATTGGTCTTGATCTCAGTAGTATTTGTACTCAGATTGGTCTTGATCTAAATAGTATTTGTACTCAGATTGGACTTGATCTCAATAGTATTTGTAGTCAGATTGGTCTTGATCTCAATAGTATTTGTACTCGGATTGGTCTTGATCTCAATAGTATTTGTAGTCAAAATGGTCTTGATCTCAATAGTATTTGTAGTCAGATTGGTCTTGATCTCAGTAGTATTTGTACACAGATTGGTCTTGATCTCAATAGTATTTGTAGTCAGATTGGTCTTGATCTCAATAGTATTTGTACTCGGATTGGTCTTGATCTCAATAGTATTTGTAGTCAGATTGGTCTTGATCTCAATAGTATTTGTACTCAGATTGGTCTTGATCTCAGTAGTATTTGTACTCAGATTGGTCTTGATCTAAATAGTATTTGTACTCGGATTGGACTTGATCTCAATAGTATTTGTAGTCAGATTGCTCTTGATCTCAATAGTATTTGTACTCAGATTGGTCTTGATCTCAGTAGTATTTGTACTCAGATTGGTCTTGATCTAAATAGTATTTGTACTCAGATTGGTCTTGATCTCAGTAGTATTTGTACTCAGATTGGTCTTGATCTAAATAGTATTTGTACTCAGATTGGTCTTGATCAAAATAGTATTTGTACTCAGATTGGTCTTGATCTCAATAGTATTTGTAGTCAGATTGGTCTTGATCTCAATAGTATTGGTACTCAGATTGGTCTTGATCTCAGTAGTATTTGTACTCAGATTGGTCTTGATCTCAATAGTATTTGTAGTCAGATTGCTCTTGATCTCAATAGTATTTGTACTCGGATTGGTCTTGATCTCAATAGAATTTGTACTCGGATTGGTCTTGATCTCAATAGTATTTGTACTCGGATTGGTCTTGATCTCAATAGTATTTGTACTCGGATTGGTCTTGATCTCAATAGTATTTGTAGTCAGATTGGTCTTGATCTCAATAGTATTTGTACTCGGATTGGTCTTGATCTAAATAGTATTTGTAGTCAGATTGGTCTTGATCTCAATAGTATTTGTACTCAGATTGGTCTTGATCTCAGTAGTATTTGTACTCAGATTGGTCTTGATCTAAATAGTATTTGTACTCGGATTGGACTTGATCTCAATAGTATTTGTAGTCAGATTGCTCTTGATCTCAATAGTATTTGTACTCAGATTGGTCTTGATCTCAGTAGTATTTGTACTCAGATTGGTCTTGATCTAAATAGTATTTCTACTCAGATTGGTCTTGATCAAAATAATATTTGTACTCAGATTGGTCTTGATCTCAATAGTATTTGTACTCAGATTGGTCTTGATCTCAATAGTATTGGTACTCAGATTGGTCTTGATCTCAGTAGTATTTGTACTCAGATTGGTCTTGATCTCAATAGTATTTGTAGTCAGATTGCTCTTGATCTCAATAGTATTTGTACTCGGATTGGTCTTGATCTCAATAGAATTTGTACTCGGATTGGTCTTGATCTCAATAGTATTTGTACTCGGATTGGTCTTGATCTCAATAGTATTTGTACTCGGATTGGTCTTGATCTCAAACTCTGTTAAGGCTCACCAGGCTGTGTGGTCGGCGCAGCGTCATTTACGATTTCGTAGTCATGATCAGTCTTGTTGGCTCTGGCAGCTGAGAACATTAAGACAGACAGTTCAGTACAGGATGATGTGTTGAATGAAAGTCATTGCTGGTATGTTGAACGAGTTGGAAAGTAGCCTTTCATTTGATAAAGATAGTCTCTCACCTTTCCTTTTGAAACAGCATCTCAGTAGAAACAGAGCCAAAACTATCACCAGCACCCCGACCAGCACAGCAAAACCAATAATGAAACCTACAGTCAGAAGAGACGTGGTATAAATTTCTGGATCTAGAATATAAGATCTAGAAATGAGTGAGAGATTCTGTGCTGTGCAGATTGGAGGATTTTCCACTAGAGCTCTAACGCTCTAGTGCTGTTGTGTTAGGGATGTGCTTACATAGGGTAACTACATAGCTAACTTTAGGATTTGCTAGATTATTTGTACCACCTGGAGTTCCAAAAAACGTTTCAACATTTTAATGATTCTATGATTAAAAACTTGTAATAAAAGTGTAGGTGAGAAGGAGAGCATGAGAGATCAGTAAAACTGCCGAATGTACATCCTGAATCTGATTCATCCATCACCCATCAATCGTGTACGCAGAATTAAATTATGAACAGAGGTACAGTAATTGCACATAAGCAAAAAGCAAATCAGTCGATACTAGAAAACTGTAGAAAATGTACTACTTGGTCATTTAATCACACAAACAGGTGACGGCAGCGGCTCTGAGAGGAGCGTGTTCTGTCATTTCACTGTTACCTGTTGCCACAGGTGAAGCTGTGCTGGCTGGAGGAGAAAAGCAAAATCATATATTAGAAAAAAGATTTTTAAAAACCATCTGAATGTTTCATGTTTAGACACAATATAGATCCTTAGTAATGCTTCCTGTTTCATATCCATTTACTGACTCTGAGGAAGAACAGAGAACACATTTTCAGGGTTGATGTAATGAGGAGTCGTCACAGTGATCAGAACAGCTGATCTGGACAAAAGACCATTAGAGCCTCAGGGACACACATGCTTAATGAAAGATCAGTGGTTTCTCCCACCCCCCATTTTAATACAGTAATAAAAACATTAAAACTACCTTCCATCAGTTCATTTACACTTACAGCTCACATTACCAGCCTTTTCAAGCCTAACCAACACAGCAATGTAAGTCACACATAGTCTGTGCGTCTCACTCACTGTACACAATGCAGTGTCTTTCATTTCAGCACTACTCGTATTTTAAAATGCATCAACTAAAACTGTGTCACTCACTCAAAGAAGGGTCCATGACTTTTTTCAAATGAATGATCAACTGGCATGAAACTGAATGACAATGAGTGGATTAAATGAGGGTTTACAGTGAAGTGCTGCTCAGTTAGAGAGGCCCCTTCTGCACCCAGACCTGTGGATGCCTCTCCAAAAGACCCTCTTCACCTGCAAAGCTCCTCATCAGCATGAAGCCTCGAATGCACTGCTGCACTGATCTGACTTTCTGCCTCTTAATGAGCCACTTTACTTACCTCACCAATGCACTGTGAACCAACCCACAGAGGGCAGCTACATCATTTTCACTCGTGTTGAACTCCACAGTTTGACAATCGACTGGTACGAGACCCACATCCCACACAGTTTCCCTTATAAGTCAATATCTCCAGCTTCTCTAAACAGAACATTCTGGAAAGCCTGATCAAGACTGTAATGATGAACGCTCCCTCTAGTTAAGTACGATACCTCAGGGTGTGTTTAATTAAGCAACATAGCGTTTAATTAAAACACAAACGTCCACAAATCATCTTGACAGAAGGTTTAAGGGCCTAGGTATGAAATATTAAAACATCAGAGAGGAAAATGAGTTTCAACTACTATAATCTTGCCTTAAACCTCTGTAAAACCGTGTCTTTAGTAGGTGTGAGGTAAACTTCAGTTAAACCTGAGATGCAGTGACATCTTTCAGGTGACACAGCAGTGCAACAAATAACTCTGGTTAACCCCTACACCACAGCTAAGATAATGGCAGAGCAATTGCCCCAATTTGTCTAGGTGTGTATACAGTAAATCCATCACTCAGAGGTGGGTTTACGCCGTATACCTGCTTATCTGCATGACGCTAAAGCTTTTGTTCTCTGTACAGAAGGAAACTCACACCATCCAACACAGATTCAGGATTTGGGTGTTACTAAATAGGTAGAGACCAGAAATGATGTCAAATGGAACAGAAACAAATACCGTTTGTGGAAGAGCCTGGACTCTCTGTAGAGAGAGAGGAAATAAAAGTGTAGATGAGAAAGAGAGCATGAAGGATCATTAAACAGTGCAGAATGTACATCCTGAATCTGATTCATCCATCATCCATAGTCAGTGCTGAAATATGTGAATACAAAATTAAATAACTACTAACAGAGATACAGGAATCACCCATAAGCTGAAAGCAGACCAAGTAAAACTGTAGAAAATGTACTACTTGGTTATTTAATCTCACAAACAGGTGACGGCAGCGGCTCTGAGGGGAGTGTCTGTCATTTCACTGTTACCTGTTGTCGTAGGTGAAGCTGTGCTGGCTGGAGGAGAAAAGCAAAATCATATATTAGAGAATGTTTTAAAAACCATCTGAATGTTTCATGTTTAGACACAATATAGATCCTTAGTAATGCTTCCTGTTTCATATCCAGTTACTGACTCTGAGGAAGAACAGAGAACACATTTTCAGGGTTGACGTAATGAGGAGTCATCACAGTGATCAGAACAGCTGATCTGGACAAAAGACCATTAGAGCCTCAGGGGACACACATGCTTAAGCATAACGTTAAATTTACCTTCCATCAGTTCATTTACACTTACAGCTCACATTACCAGCCTTTTCAAGCCTAACCAACACAGCAATGTAAGTCACACACAGTCTGTGCGTCTCACTCACTGTACACAATGCAGTGTCTTTCATTTCAGCACTACTCGTATTTTAAAATGCATCAACTAAAACTGTGTCACTCACTGAAAGAAGGGTCCATGACTTTTTTCAAATGAATGATGAACAGGCATGAAACTGAATGACAATGAGTGGATTAAATGAGGGTTTACAGTGAAGTGCTGCTCAGTGAGAGAGACCCCTTCTGCACCCAGACCTGTGGACGCCTCTCCAAAAGACCCCCTTCACCTGCAAAGCTCCGCATCAGCATGAAGCCTCGAATGCACTGCTGCACTGACCTGACTCTCTGCCTCTTAATGAGCCACTTTGCTTACCTCACCAATGCACTGTGAACCAACCCACAGAGGGCAGCTACATCATTTTCACTCGTGTTGAACTCCACAGTTTGACAATCGACTGGTACGAGACCCACATCCCACACAGTTTCCCTTATAAGTCAATATCTCCAGCTTCTCTAAACAGAACATTCTGGAAAGCCTAATCAAGACTGTAATGATGAACGCTTCCTCTAGTTAAGTACGATACCTCAGGGTGTGTTTAATTAAGCAACATAGCGTTTAATTAAAACACAAACGTCCACAAATCATCTTGACAGAAGGTTTAAGGGTCTAGGTATGAAATATTAAAACATCAGAGAGGAAAATGTGTTTCAACTACTATAATTTTGCCTTAAACCTCCGTAAAACCGTGTCTTTAGTAGGTGTGAGGTAAACTTCAGTTAAACCTGAGATGCAGTGACATCTTTCAGGTGACACAGCAGTGCAACAAATAACTCTGGTTAACCCCTACACCACAGCTAAGATAATGGCAGAGCAATTGCCCCAATTTGTCTAGGTGTGTATTCAGTAAATCCATCACTCAGAGGTGGGTTTACGCCGTATACCTGCTTATCTGCATGACGCTAAAGCTTTTGTTCTCTGTACAGAAGGAAACTCACACCATCCAACACAGATTCAGGATTTGGGTGTTACTAAATAGGTAGAGACCAGAAATGATGTCAAATGGAACAGAAACAAATACCGTTTGTGGAAGAGCCTGGACTCTCTGTAGAGAGAGAGGAAATAAAAGTGTAGATGAGAAAGAGAGCATGAAGGATCATTAAACAGTGCAGAATGTACATCCTGAATCTGATTCATCCATCATCCATAGTCAGTGCTGAAATATGTGAATACAAAATTAAATAACTACTAACAGAGATACAGGAATCACACATAAGCTGAAAGCAGACCAGGTAAAACTGTAGAAAATGTACTACTTGGTTATTTAATCTCACAAACAGGTGACGGCAGCGGCTCTGAGAGGAGCGTGTTCTGTCATTTCACTGTTACCTTTTGAAGGTGAAGTTGTGCTGGCTGGAGGAGAAAAGCAAAATCATATATTAGAAAAAAGATTTTTAAAAACCATCAGAATGTTTCCTGTTTAGACACATTGATTGTTACTTATGCTTCCTGTTTCATATCCATTTGTTATTAATAATAATAATTGTTATTATTAAGTGACCCTTATTAGTCCCACGACGGGGAAATTTCACCTCCGCATTTGACCCATCCGTGCAGTGAAACACCACATACACACTAGTGAGCACACACACTAGGGAGCAGTGAGCACAGTTGCTCAGAGTGGTGGGCAGCCCTATCCGCAGCACCTGGGCAGCAGTTGGGGGTTAGGTGTCTTGCTCAAAGGGCATTTCAGTCCTGTCGGCTCAGGGGATCAAACCGGCAACCTTTCGGTCACAGGGCTGGTTCCCTAACCTCCAGCCCACAACTGCCCCCATTTACTGACTATGACTAAAAACAGAGAACTCATTTTCAGGGTTGATGTAATCAGGAGTCGTCACAGTGATCAGAACAGCTGATCTGGACAAAAGAACATTAGAGCCTCAGGGGACACACATGCTTGAAGATCAGTGGCTTCTACTGCCCCGCCCCCCACACACACACCCTGCGCTGTGCTTAAATAGGTTTTATGCCATGATTGAGAACCTCTCAACATGTTAGATCTAAAATCAGTATGTTATGTGTTCTAACAATAATCGCCACAGCAGTCACCAACCACATTTACAGTACCAAACATGATGTTAACACTCATCACTACAGCATCAGCCCTG